CCAGTGCTGAGATAAGGAGTCTGCAAAAAATGGATTTAGCTAAGGCTCTCCACTCCAACATGAAAATTTTGAAAAATAAAAGAATAAAAGAGGCGGCAGTGGCAAGCGAGGCAAGTCTAGTGGACACAGTCTTGGAAAGAATTAGTGTTCTTTTTGTTTAGAAACTAGTCATTGGAAAAAATTGTCCGAACTTGAAGGAGAAGGAAAAGGGATTTTTCAATTAGACAAACTTTGCGTGGAAGAACGTGATGAAAATTTAGATGTATCACTATTTATAGTTTCTCAAAATTCATATACATATAATTCATACTCAATTATGGATACTTGTGCTACCTTTCAAATTTGTCCCACTATAGAGTGGTTCTGTGCCTACATTGAGCTTGATAAAGGTGTTATAACCATGATAAATAATCAAGTTTGTCGTACTATTGGTGTACGAAGCATTTTCATTAGAATGCATGATTATACTATGAGAGAGATAACTGATATAAGACTTATTTTATATATCAGAAATAATTTACTGTCTATTTGGGTGTTAGAGATTAGGGGCTATAAGGTAGTCATTAAGACATGAGTTTTTAAGATATATCATGGACCTTTGATTTTTATAAAAGGAGTTTGTCACCATAATCTTTACTAGCTCCAAGGAAAAATAGTGATTGGAATGGTTGTTGTTGCTAGCTAATGATTCTTCTGATGCCACTAAATTGTGGCATATATATGCGGCTTACTGATCATGATGGATATGCTTATCTTATGACTTTGGTAAAGCAAGGATTAATCAAAAGAACAAGCACCTACAAGCTTGATTACTATGAATATTGTGTGCTTAGCAAAAAAATACATGTATTTTTTGTTATTGACATCTACAATACAAATGATATCTCGGAGTATGTTCAAACAAATGTTTGGAGCCCAACGAAGATAGCATCATTCGGCTAGCTGTGAATGCCGGTGATACATTATCTCTATTGTTGATGATTACTCCAGGTATATTTGGGTGTATATCATGAGGCATAAGAACGTGCATGTACTGGAGATTAAATTCCATAATTAACAAATATTGTAAATGTAATATATTTTCAGGTATAAGTAATTTTGCTAATATATATAAGTGATCAATGATCCTATAAAAAGCAAATAATCACATCTCATCACAAAAATTATCTAAAATAAAATTCCACATAAGAATAAATAAAGAATAATTAAAATAATAAAAAATTAACTAAATAAACAATCAAAAGTTATGAAATACTTCTTTTAAATTTCTAAAATATACTTTTAAGTAATTATGGGTAAAGTCTAATTAATTTTATTTATTTATGGTTTTTTGCTATTATTCTTTTCATTTCCGTGCTTGCTCTCTTTAATCCTAACGCACAAGTCCTTGTAATGATCCATCCAACAACCGTCTAGAAGACTGCAAGTCCAGAGCCGAAAGTGCAGTTCAATTACCTAATGAAGGAAGTAAATCAAAGTGCTGTACGTGTTCTTCAATCCTTTTCATCATCAGCAGAAAATAACTCAGCAATATCCAGATTTATATATGCTTCATTTGAAACGTCTTTCTTACCGCTTCTAAAAAAACTGCTTTACATAAGCAGTAAGAAAGCCATTCCAATTTGAAAGGAATTTCCAAACGAAATGAAAACCGTCACTAAATTAAGGCTTCGTTTGGGACTGACTTTCTTGTTGCTTCTTAAAACAGCTTTCTAGTACAAAAATTTAATTATTGAACTAGGAAGCTACTTTGAAGCAGCAAAAAAGCCGTCCCGAACGAAGCCTAAGATAACACTGACAAGTTTTAACATGCACGTATAAATTCTTTCTGATGAAAAAAAGTGTGTTTTTTACACTACCCAAGTGGCTTAATTCAGTGTACTTAGAAGTTTTAGTCTTAGAAGTTATAATATGGATAGCCATTTTGAGTTCTGCCACGTTGTTTTTGAATGGAGGACACTCAACTAAGGTCAAATATACTATATATAAACCTTTTTGGCTACTTCCAAATAACTTCGCCTAAGCATTTTGTAACGTGTCGATGAGCATGCCAATGACCAAACGTGGAGAACTCTAATATTATTTAAAAAGGGAAAATAATCATGTGAAACGAACAATATCATCTTAAATTCTTAATTACAAGTGATTTAGCTTCGACGATACCTATAAATTACACAAATTGTAATAGGTCTGATTTGTAATATACCTAAAAATTATCGTCTTCTCTTCCATTAAAATGGAGCGAAGCGTAATTTCGAAATTTAAGATCTGTTTAGAATGACTGTAGCATTATATAAAGGTGGTTGTCAAACTATGATCGGAAAGATAACTTTTCTGAAAATTTCTATGGAAATAGTAGTCAAACATAATTATAGTCAATCTATAAGTGTGATCTGAAAAATAAAACAACGAGAAAACTATCCAAAATGAGAGAAATCATTATGTGCGGACATCGGGCGGTCAGGAGTAGGAGTGTCAATATTTGATATGATACGAAAATCTGACCCGGACCCGACCCAGAAAATACGGGTTGGACCTGACCCGATTTCAAAACGGGTCGGGTTCGAGTTCCAGGATTCGACCCGTTTGAAAATTGGGTCAGGTTCAGGTTCCCGGAGTCAACCCGTTTGAAAAACGGGTTGAGTTTGGGTTGACCCTGTGGGTTCAGATTTTTGACCCGTTTATCTACCTGGGTCGGGTTAGGGTCGACCCGTTTGAACCCGGGTCAATTCATGGTTAAACCCGAACCCGACCCGTGACCCGAAATTGACACCTCTAGTCAGGAGACCAACTTGAATACGCCATGTCACCCGGTACATAACAGTACCGAATTGACACCGAGCAAAAAATGATGTGACGCATTTTGATTGGTTACCGAACATTATTCGAGATCGCACATAATATTTTTTCCCGAGACAGGCCGTTAGGATCGATCTTTTTGTTAGAAATTTAGGTCTTATTCTATTCTCTCATAATCGTGGAAGTAATGAATGTGGTTGATTCATAAGTTACTTGTGAACCCTTTTGACGCGCGAGGCCAAAAGTTGCAGCATATGTGATAACTTCAAAGCTTTTTATTCCCAATATGAATAAGACCCCTCCACCGTATATAGTAAGCAAGCACGTGAAATTTAAAAATATTTATTTCTTTAATCTTTATCAAACTATTATATATAGTATGAAAGTAGACGAACGGGCACCTAATTTATTATTCATCACGGCGTCACATGCGCTACTTTCTGGTAGCTAGCATGGATCGTCATCATATGCCTCACTTGTGTATTCATATTACTACATATTAATATAACCACCCACCGGCGGGCGTGGTTGGTAACCCCCTCAATCCACGTTCGATTCCCTCTTAACCGGCTCGCCTCCTTCGAGTAAAGTAGGCAAGTAGAGGTTCTACTGAGGGATTAGTTACGCAGCCAAGCGCCTCCTAAGGGTGAGATTGTAGCGTTCGGACATTAAACGTGTCCAGAGACCAATAAAAAAGCGTCATATCACTGGGCGCTCAGTACGGCGTACAATACTGACCGCGGTACCACTCGGTACCTTGTCCGGATAGAATAATTTTTCCTCCTAAGGAGGTGCCAGGCCAGCGGATAGATACCTCTAATTAGGATGCTTAAAATGTGAACGTAGCACCTCTATTTAGAACAAACTTTTTTATTGCTTTATTTTTCATATCATAATCATAGTTTTATTTGGATATTGTTTTCTCTTTACTTAAAAAAAAACAATTTTGATGCAAATAGTTTTTTTAAAAGTTATTTTTCCTACATCAACTTTATAACCACAATTACAAAAAAATTATTGTCATTCCAAATAAACTTTTAATCTTTTCTATTCTTTTTAATATTGTTGCTATCTAAAATTCTTTTCTTGATCACAATTTTAAAAATAATTTTTGTAAGCAAAATTTTGAAATAATAGAAGGAAAAATCTTTTAAATGCACTTTATCTCTTGCTATCTATTTTTCTTAAAAATAAAAAATAAAATTGTCCAAAAGATGTCACAAAATACAAACAAAAGTGTTGTACTTCGCCACCGCCACATAGTCAGCAACACGCGTTTCCTCCTGCTGTAAGCAAACTCAAATATAGATATTATATAGACATACTTACTCAATGCTAGTAAGCAACCGATCTGTTGACCTCCTGCTCTCTTACTGTCCGTTCAAACCTAGTTAAGATTGAAAGTACAGCTAACCAATTTCATTGCCTATTCTAGAAAGCCAAATCTCTTACAATAAGCACAATACTAATTAATTAAGGCTTCGTTTGGGACGATTTTTTTTTTGCTTCTTAAAGCAGCTTTTTAATATAAAATTAAAAAATTTTACACTAAAAAGCTGCTTTAAGAAGCAGAAAGAAAGCCGTCCCAAACGAAATCTAAGACTCCGTTTGGGATGATTTTCTAACTTTTTTTTGAAGGAGCCTTAGTGTTTAATTTTTTTAATGAAAAATTACTTTAAGAAGCAATAAGGAAGTTGTTCCGAATGAAGCCTAAGGCTTCAAATATTTTTCATATTATTTTAAAGACCGAAAAAAACCTTTTTTTGTCATAAAAAATGGCCTTTTAAGAAAATAATGTTTTTTTTTTTTAATTTTTGCTAAAATATGTTATTGTTTATCCTATGAAATTTCATTGATAAGATTTATTTAATAATTATTTTTTAATATTAAATATATATTATTTTTCATCTCACATGAATATATGGAGCTTTATCTTTTCCATCATCTGCCTCTCTCCTTAAATTAAATTATTATATTATTATGTTATTTATATATTTTTTAATAATAAGATTATTTTAGATAAAAAATCAGATTAAATAATTCCAATAAAAGAAGAAAAATAAAAATGATTAAAAATAATATTTTAACATGCAGACTAAAAAAGAAAACCGCCGCCGTCAGTTAAGTTGAGTAGTCAGCAAGCAAATTCACATCCTAAGCTCTATAAATAGTCACAAAGCCCGAATAAATCCTTCACATCGATCTATTTCTGCTCGCTCTCTTCATCTTTGATTGCTTATTGATGACGAAGAGATTCAGATTAATCAGCGAAGAAGAAGAAGACATGGCTTCCTCCATATGCACGGACAGCTTCAACATAGCAAACGTTCTCATGCTTCTATCCAGAGGCCACGGCGCAGCTGCCGGCGATGCCGTCTCCCCCGTCGCCGCCGTTGCCGGACGTGAGACGCAGGAAGGAAAAGTGTTCGAGTGCAAAACTTGTAGCCGAAAGTTCACGACTTTCCAGGCGCTGGGGGGCCACAGGGCCAGCCACAAGAAGCCTAGGCTGGGCGGCTCCGCTGCCGCGCCGGAGAAGCCAAAGGTACACGAATGCTCTATCTGCGGGCTGGAGTTCGCCATCGGCCAGGCGCTCGGTGGCCACATGAGGCGGCACCGCCCCGCATCGGAGAACGTGGTGGGTCAGTTGGGTGGGCCGTCGATGGAAAAGAGTTCGACCCAGATTGATTTGAACCTGCCGCCGTTGGAGCGGGGGGAGGAGGAGGAGGTCCGGCAGCTGCCGAAGTTGTTGGGATTCACGTTGACTCCTGCCATGGTTGATTGCTTCCATTGATTGATATGAGCTGTTCTGTGATCAATTAATGGGGGCAACAAATCAGCTGACGATTATTTAATTTCTATTGTAATTATATACAGTATTTAAGCATCATTCATAATTTTTTTTTTTCAGTTGTGTAAAGTAAAATTTTTTGCCCCATAAATTTAGGATAATCCGCTTAAAATAAATTCTGTCAGCACTGCTTGTGATTGATTATTCAGTTATTTTTTAATATTAATAAATGTGAAAGAAACAGAAATATTTTGTAGCAGTTGCAAAGCTTCATTATAGGAAGAGAACCTCAACTAGATTTTTATTTTTTTATTTTTTGTGATTAAACGTGCTCCCGGATTTAATTTTTGAAGTTTCCAACTTGATTTTTGCCTCAAGATTCGTGCCCGATCAAGTTAATTTTCGCATGACGTATCAAGATTCTATCCGATTATAATAACCTTCTGATCCATTTTAGATGGTTGCTATTAATTCTATCAAAATAATAAAAAAAATTGCTCTATTATCAATAAATCTTAACAAGATTGGGGATTAGTCTGGGACAGCTTTATTTTCTTAGATACCAACAATAACTTTTCTTTTGCCCACTGTTTTTTCATTGTTTTTTAAAAAAATTTGTATTAGAAAGTTGCTTTTTGCATAAGCTTTTAAAAAAACTATTTTTTCATAACAAATTTATAAAATATTATAGTCGTCCCAGATTAATTATAAATAATTAGATGAATTGATAAATCTACAAGGTGTACCAGTTTATCGGCGGTCATATTTCAAAATTATATCTTTTGGGATTAAAAATGTTGAAGAAATTTATCAAAGGTTAGTAGAAAAAAAGACATTGAGCATTAAAAAAAAAATTATAATGTTTATGTAGATGATATTCTAAAAAAAAAAAAAACTCATGAATAGCATTAATAATAATGATCATTTTACACAGATAACTTATTTATTAAGAAAATATAACATAGAATTCAGTGCACACTTGGGCCAGTTCATATGAGATATGATCTAAGCTCAAGGAATTAGAGCAAACTCATACAAGATAAATACATACATAAAAATAAATGCACCAATGTCTATTGAAGAAGTAAGTTGAGTAATAAACTTGCTAGTTTTAGTTGGTTTACATCTTGATCTCATGTGCATCATCATTTATATATCTCTAGAAATCAAATCAACTCATTTGGAATGATATTATGAGAAATTATCCCAATAACAAAATAACTATCTCACAACTATTATAATCTTAATTTATAACTTAAAATTGATGTAAGATTAGTTCTATTTGTAGGAGTCGATACTTGGTAATTAGTTCAATCTTTATTTAAGAGAAAAATAGAAAATAACACCATGTCTATTACTATAACAAGGTCCTTAATGTAGTTTAATTGAGCTACACTATTATAAATAAGTTAACTATGGTGTATGTCTTAACTTCTAAGTTCATGAAACCTTATTTTCTTCAACGCAATTCACTTTCTATTGGACTCGTTAAATGAATAATTGAACTCAATGAGTCTTAAATTTATTACATTTAGAATAACAATTAAAACTCTTTGAAGCTTAACTAAAGGCATATGTGAGTAAACTTGAAAAACTCCTAATGAATTCATAAGCTAAAATCTTTAAACTATTTGTATCTCGAGAGAAGAAAATAAGATCGTAAATCTCTTGGCAATATATGACAATCCATATGTTGCTTCTAGTATGGGATTGAACAAGCTTTGTATACAAAAAGGAAGATGAAACAACTATAATTATTCAGGGCGTGTATTGGCACACTCTCATTAAAAGTTTTCTCACTTAAGATGCACAAAGATATAAGGATGAAGCAAAGACTTTTAGACATAAGACATCAAGACATTTCATCTTAAAAGGAGTTTTGTAGACAAAATCATATTCAAGAATCAACTTAAGAAGTTTAGACTACATAAATCTAAAGAAGTTTTGAAGGAAACCCATTCAGAAGGCTTTGAAAATAAATCAACAACAGATATTCCCATTCAAAAGTCTCTCAAATATGCATTTAATTCCTACAATTAAAGACTAACCATGGAATTCTGCTAAGTATAAAAGATGTCAAATTCATGATAGAAATCTCCATCAACCAAACCAAAATTTGCATCCTATTAGTTATCCTGATTATTTGTTATATGGAGAATGAATTTCAATTGTTCTTTGCTCCTTATATTTTGAAAAAAAAATTATTAAATAAGTATTTTATTTTACTAAATAGGTTGAACTCACTACACTTTGCTAAACCAAGCATTATATCTTATTTTTCTCCCGCAAAATGCCCAGCGGGATTCAATTCTGGAGCTCAACTCTTCTCAGATTGATTTAGATATCCCTAATCTAAATCTTCCCAACATTGATTCTTCCCCCCCTAAACCTCCTTCCTATACAAAAAGTCTTCTACCTTCCCAAGTGGTGCTTGCTAATAGTTTTGCTTCTCTTCTGATGGATAATACAAACCCGATGGATGTGAAAGTGGATGAAAATATTGAGGCTGAGGATCCTTCTACTGCCTCAAAAACTGAATCCAATATTCAACAGTCAGCTAGTTCTTCTTCTAATTCTTCCTCTAAGAAGAAAGGAAAATCACCGCCAAAAAAATCCAAAACCAAGTCCACTGCCAAGAAGGCAAAAAACCCTCGTTAACTCATGTCCTTGCCGAATATTGCCTCCTGGAACGTGAGGGGGTTCAATAACCCTCTTAAGGTTGGGATGTGTAAAGACCTTATTAAAACTCATAGTCTTAAGCTTATTGCTGTTTTGGAAGCCAAAATCCATCCTAATTGGGCTTCTGATCCGTGGTTTGTGCATTCGCATTCTCTCTTTGCGAATGAGCAATGTTGTGACAATTTCAGTCATTCTTCCCCGGGTAGAATCTGGATTAAATGGGACTCTACGCAGGTGTCATTTTCTCCTTCTTTCTACTCCTCCCAAATCATTCATGGTACACTCTCGGCTGGTTCTTCTCCTCAAATCGTCTTAACTGTTATTTATGCTGCCAATCTTCCTGAAGACAGGAAAGAGCTTTGGGACAATCTCCTGACGCTTTCTCACAGTATTAACCTTCCTTGGGTTATTATGGGCGACTTCAATTGTTGTAGATTCGAATCTGAAAAGGTTGGTGGTGCTCCGCTGATGCAGGGGAGACTGGATGAGTTAAATAACTGTATTTTTTATTGTGGCTTACAAGACCTGGCTTCGATTGGTCTTTTATTTACTTGGTATAACCAAAGGGTGGATCTTCCTATCCACATCAAGCTTGATAGGATTTTGGTGAATTCCGTTTTCATGGATTGCTTTCCCTCTGCTTACTATCTCTGAAAGATGCCAATGATAATTTAGGAAGGTTACAGGACAACTGGTCCTCTTGGATTAAGCAGAGAGCCAAAGCTTATTGGCTCTCTCAAGGTGAAGATGATCTTGGCTTTCTTTATGCTAAGATTAGAGCCCGGAATAACATAAACAATATTAAGGAGATTATTTCTCCTAAAGGGACTCTCACTTCTCATAGTGACATTGCTGGTGCCTTTGTGGAATACTATTCTGAATTATTTAATGCTCCACCTCCTGTTGTGGATTGTTTTGGTAATATTCCTGTTGGGGAGGTGATCCCTTCTCATCTTGTTGATATCCTGGTGGTTCCTATTTCTGATAAAGAAATTAAAGATGTGGTCTTTGCGGGTAAGACTGATTCCTCACCTGGACCGGACGGTTTTTCTTTTGCTTTTTATCAAAAATCTTGGCACATCATTGGGTATTACCTTTGCATGGCGATTAAAGAATTCTTCCTTTCGGGTTGTATGCCTAAAGGGGCTAAAGCTACTGTGATTACTTTGATTCCTAAAGGATCTCATGCATCTTCTTTTGTGGATTTTAGGACGATTTCGCTTTGTAATGTGTTCTATAAGATTATCGCCAAGATTATTGCAAATAGACTGAAACAGATTATGCCTCACATTATTCATGAGAGTCAGTCGGGTTTCATTGCGAATAGAATTTCGACTGACAATATTATTTTGGCCACGGAAGTGCTTAAACTTTTTAAAGGTCATCACAAGTTTTTTTGTGCTAAGCTGGATATCAAAAAAGCTTTTGATTCCATTTCTAGAGATTTCCTTTTGGATAGACTGAGGCGGAAAGGATTTCCTGAACTTTTTATCAAATGGATTCATGGTTGCATTTCAGACGTTTATTTCTCTATTTGCATCAATGGCTCTTTAGAAGGTTTTTTAAATCCTCTTCGGGTCTTCGGCAAGGATGTCCTTTATCCCCCTTGCTTTTCTGTATTGCCATGGATGGTTTATCTCATTGCCTAAAATCAAATCCCAATGCTTCTTTTGGGGGGTTTAAGCATAAAAATTTTTGTTTGTCTCACCTTATGTATGCTAATGACTTACTTATTTTTGGGGAGGCCTCTTTGTCTAATCTTACTTGCCTCAAGGCCACTCTTACTTCCTTCAAGGAGGCCTCGGGTCTCTGTATTAACCCGGCTAAGAGCTCAATTTTATTCTCAAAGGCTGTTGACAATCCGGATATTCTGGCTAATTCTTTGGGGATTTCTAACCTAGAGGATATTTTTACTTATCTGGGCATTCCTATCACTACTCAAAGACTCAAGTTTTCTCACTTCCAACCCCTACTGAGCAAGCTTTCTGCTCTACTTGAGGGTTGGAAAGTTAAGTTTCTTTCTTTTGCAGGACGTGTTCAATACATCAAATTCACGATTGCTAATACCATTGCATACTGGATTAGAGGTGATATCTTACCCAAAGCCTGTCAAAAGTTCATTTCAAGGATTTGCTCTAAATTTCTTTTCTTTGGCAATCTGACGGACAAGAAGATGCATATGATTTCTTGGAAGAGAGTTACTATGCCTAAGTCCAAGGGGGGGCTTGGTATTCCCTCTCTGGACTCGATGTACCATGCGTTTGCATTCTCGTTTATTTGGAGATTGATTAATACTAATTATCTGGTGGGCTGTTGGTTTAAGAATAATTATGAATCTCCCTGGAAGCCTCCTCCTCCTTCGGCTTCTAAATTTTGGAAATATATATGTTGCAAGGCTGTTGGTTTTAAGGATTTGGTTAGCTTCAAGGTTGGCACCGATTGCATTTACTCCTTATTTTGGGACCCTTGGTTCTATGGTGAGCCGCTGGGTAAAAGTTTTTGTTGCCCAACTGGTTTGGGTGGCTGTGTAAAGGATGTGATTATGAATGGGACTTGGAGTCTTCCCAATTCGTGGTCTATTAATATTCGTTCCAGAATTTTGGGCATTCCGATTCTTGAAACTGATAACTTGATGTGGGTTGGCCCTTCTAAGCCTACTTCTAAGTTTTTCTCCTCCCATTTCTACTCTTCCTTAGATAATGTGGATTGGTATAAGTTTGTTTGGCATAAAAATCACGCCATTCGTTTTGCTTGTTATGCCTGGATGGCGATTCTTGGGAAACTTAAGTGTGCTGATTCGTTGATTAGGAGAGGGCTCCAGGTTAATCCTCTTTGTAATTTCTGTTCGGGTCATTCTGAAACTCACTCGCACTTATTTTTTGGGTGTGATTTTACTTTTGGAGTTCTCGCTAAGCTTATGCCGGCTACTAATGCCTTCTATTTAAGACCAAACCTTTTTCAGGTGTATGATTTTATGTGGAACAATGCTAACTTAGCTGTGTTAGAGAAAAAGTTTGCTTCTCTTGCCATATCAGCTATTGTTTATTTCCTTTGGAGAGAAAGAAATCAGAGGCAATTTTCTGACGTAAGAAAGAGCATTAACCAAGTATGTGATGATATTTGTGTTGCGGTTTGTGCCAAGGCTAAAAAATGGAACAATCATGATGGTCTGGATGGAAAATTTGGTGAAATTCTGGCTTTTTTGGGATAATTGGAACGTGCTATTTGTGCCATCTGTCGAAAGTTATCTGGACATGTTTTTTGATGTTTTGGTCTCTCTGCTTCTTGGTGTGGTTGAGGACTATGTTCTTTATGGTTCTTTGTTTTGACAGCAATCAATTTTTATGTTTGAGACCATTTTTGGGTTATTTTTGGCGGCTTGGACGATGATGAGCTATGGACTACACCAAGCACCTCCTCGGATGGTCTTTGGGCAACCAGGGAGTGCTATTCTGATCGATTTCGATTTGATCATGGCTGCTGGGGACACTGTGAGGGTCCTTGGTTTTTTTTCGGTGGTTCGTTTCCTTGTGGCAACCGGTGCTCCTGCTGATGTTGCTGGGTTTTATTCCTAGCATCCGTTTGAATGTTGTTTTTGAAGTTATTTGATCTATGGTGTAGTCCTGTATTCTGAGTCCTATTTTCCGCCTTTTATAATTTGTTACTTCCTTTTCTTTTTGGGGGTATACTGGTCTTACTTGTAAGTGATAGAATTTTGATGTAATCTTTGATTTTGTCTTTAATAGAAGGGCTTAAGCCCCAAATTTTCCCAAAAAAAATCTTATTTTTCTCTGACAATTGTTAAAAATAATAATTTAAATTTTAAAATTTTCCTTATTATATCAACGACAAATCAATGACTTTTCCTATCAGGATTTGTTTGCTGCCATGAGCCGTAGTTGTATGCTGGGGAATTTTTGGTCCTTGCTTGTTAACATTGTGAACTATTACTGATGTTATTTTGTGACCTATGTTTATTTCCATCTGATTCAAGTGGGCTATTGCTCTTCTGTTATGAGCTGGAATTGCTGTTTTGTTGACTTCTCCTACAAGGAATTTCTGGACACTTGGATTAGCTTTTTGTTGTTTTTTTGGTACAACAGGATACTGGTTTTATTTATGTGGCTAATTCGAACCCGCTAGCCGAGGTTAATCAATACGGTTTATTGATTCATTGGAATTAACACCTTAGCTTTTAATTTTTTTGTTTAGTGTTCTTGCAGGCCTCTTGTGCAGGTTTTTGGAAACTCGTTCTTGTTTTGTGTAGGACCTGATTATGATTGGAAAGGCAGTGCTGAGTGAGATATCTCTTTTCCTTTCTTTTTTTGTTCTTAGAATGTTATAAGGGTGCTGTGTATTTGTGATTAGTAGGGATATCTTGCTCTTAGGTTTTTTTTTAAAATTTTTTTTGACTTTTTTTATAGCTCATTCGAGTATTAGTGAGTTGGAGGTCAAAAATTTTGTACTCTGATTAATTAACAAGTAAGCCCGTGGATTAATTTTATAAATTAAAACAAAAAATATCTTTTAAAGAGAGTTCTCAAATTTGGCCGACGGGCCTCGAAAGTCCGAACCCTCATATTCCACTCCTATTTCCTTTTCTACCTAGCCGTCTTCCTCACCCAAACGGCCGGCGGATTTTCGACGGCGATCGCGAGCTTCCGGCGAGGGGCAACCTAAATACTAATAGCGTCTCACTCTTCTCTTCGAAAGCTCTCCCCTTGGTTGCTCTTCAAGAGAAAGAAAACTGGTATAGTGTCCTGTCCTGCTTCCCTTTACCTCGGCGATGGTTTTATCTCGCAAAAAGCTTAAGAAGAAGTTTCGATCGCTTCTTGCCGAATCCCTCACAGCCAATGAATCGAAGGATTCGTGCAAGGATGCTTCGGGCGCAACAGAAGTTAATAATGAGTTGCAGAGCGTTCGAAAGCTCCTGGTCACCAAATCTCGAAAGCCAAAGCTTATGAAGCGAGAAAAGAGAAGAAAAAAGAAGCCTGTTCCAGAGGATTTGAATAATGGAGACGGAAGCTTGGAGGCCCGTGAAGGGAACGTGGAAAATGAGGATTCCGTGGATTTGAAGGAGAAAATTAAAGATAAAAAGAGAAAGAGAGTGGAAGATGGAGGCCAGGAATTGGAGGAGGGTTTTAAGCAGGAGGAGCAGAAGTTGGTGAAAAAGAAGAAGGATAAGCAAAAGAAGAAGAAACGGAGAGAAAAGAAGCTTGAAAAGAAGGGGAAGAAGGGGGTGTTAGGGCAAGGGGAGGAAAATAATGGTGACGAGATTGTGAGCACGAATGCAGTGAACAAAATACCAGAAGCACTTCCAGTTCAAAAAGTCGATGAGAGGTGAATTTCTGACTACTTTGTTCCTGATGTGTAACTTATGTTACTTGGCGTTGGCGGGCATGTTTTTATGGCTTTTCTTTGTATCACAGTGAAGTAAAGAAAGTATACGTGGGAGGCATTCCATACTACTCTAGTGTGGATGATATAAGAAGTTTTTTTGAGGACTGTGGAACTGTAACTGAGGTGGACTGCATGACTTTCCCTGAAACTGGAAAGTTTAGGGGGATTGCTATACTCTCTTTCAAGGTTTGTTTGAGCCTTGTTATCGTGTATTGGTTGCCAAGATTGAAGCTTGATTGGTTTCTCACTTTAGATACATCATTCACTTAATATTTGTGTTCTAACACCCGAAATGTGAAAGATTTGTCAGTGATGCTAGTTTACTAGTGAAAATAGAAGCCCCTGGTAAAAACACTCGTTTATTTGAGCCTGCATTAATTTTCAGGCTCTCATTGTGCATTTTGTTTTCGATTCATAAATCTCTTGACTACGTGCCATTGTATGATTGCCTTATTAAATGATTTACTATTTCAACTTGAATTTTAGTTGCTGTTTCTTTTTGGTTCATCCTCTGAATTTCTTGATATGTTCGGCAGGATTCTTTGATCTGAATATTCAGTTATATGTTGAATTTGTTGTGTATGTCTGTCATTTTGTTTTCTTGGCACTAGTTTGCTTGATGAATTGAACCATTCGTTTTGCATGATCAAGTTTTGAAATTATTTTATTTTTCTTCCCGTGAAGTTATAACCTTGACCAATGACCTCGAACATACTTGCAAGTGAGGCACCATAGTAATCCGATCATGTTCAAAAGGAAGGATTGACTAAGTCTGAAGTGATATTAGATTTGTTACTAGAGTTGTAGGGATTTTAATGGGAAGATAAAACAATTTGTAGTATAATGATGAGTATTATTATTTTCAAAGAACTAAATAGAAATAGGAAAAATCCAAGGACATTGGAGAAGGTGAAAAATTGTTGCTTGCTGGAAAGCTTAATAATGAGTTTAAGATAGTAGTGGATAGAGAGTTGAAAGATAAAATTTGTGACGTGAATAGAGTAATTGTTCTTAGGCACTTATCTTTGAGAATATAATAAACGTGGTTAGTGCTTATGTTCCTCACATTGGATTAAAAGATAGTTTAAAAATTCATTGTGGGAGGAGATGGATGAACAATTGGAATATAAGAAATGAGAAAGAAAGAATATTTATTAGGAATGATCTAATGGACATATGGCTTCAGGTTTTATGGGCTATGAAATAGAAGGTAAAAATGTAATGGAAAATTTTTATAGATATATTTTATGGAAATACTAAAGAATACTCAAAGTGAGTTTCCTCAATAAATGCTTTTTATAGATATATTTTAATTAGGGAAACATATGTTGAAATCATTGAAAATTTTGAATAATTGAGAATATGTATAAATGATTGTTAGATTTAATTTAGTAGAACAAAGATGAAGTATATGATGTTTAATTATTATTGGGCGTGATATAAATTTTTATTAGTCAATTCTATTATATAAAATATAAGGTGATACCTAGGTGTGCTAGATTTATATATGTTAAATTATTTAAAAAAAAGAGTTGAGATATAAATAAAGACATAACCTTAGAGGTAGGAGTTGGTGGTTAAATTAGAGAAGTTTCTAAGGAGTGTTATATATAAAATGATATTATGGAGACTAAAAGATAAATTATATAAAATTACAATTGCACCGATTATTTTAATGGATCCAACTGTTGGATGGTAAAAAAAGCTATTTATAGTTGAGTTGAATATGATGGAAATGAGAATATGAAAATGAATGGGTTACAAAAGTTAAAATGATAAAATAAGGAATGATCATATTAGAAGAACAATTGAAGTGTCATATATCAAAGATTAGATAGTTAAAAATAGTTTAATTTGTTTAGCATGTGTATAACAATGGGTAGATAATGCACCTGTTAGATTGATAGATAAAATTATTGTCAAACGATCATATAGTAAAATGATCAAATCATAGGTAACATGAATATAATGTTCAAATGATTTGATAAAATAGTTTGAACATTTTGAGCAGCACTCATCAAGAATGAGTGGAAGATGTAGATTCATGAGGTCAACAACTCGACCCCAAATAGTTAGGATACAGCTAATGATGATGATGATCTTGGATATTCTTTAGAATTGCTTTTTTTATTATCAAAATATGTTGAAACTAGGAATTTGAGAAGAAAAGTCTTGCTTTATTGCATAAATTCTTCCCTATATATAGATCTATACAAGATATTTAACAAGGAAACATATAACTACATAATAATGAAATATAACTCTTCCTAAATTAGCTGCCCATCTATGGAAGGTGTTTCAACGTGATTCATGAGAGCTTTCCATGGATTGCTCTCTGTGACCATCAGATCCTTTGCACCATGAACGGTTGGATTCTAACACTCCCCCTCAAGCTGGTAATACATATATGTCATTCCCAGCTTGATAATTAATCACACAAAGTAAAGTTATCATGTTCCTTGGTGCACCATATAGCCCTCTATTAGCTTCATATATTGTGACAACGGCAAATGATAGGATGAAGGCTATATCAAGCAGGGCAGCATTGAATGCTGCATTTATTATAGATAAGATAACAACCACTAGAGAAAACCGGCAATGAAGGCAGTGATGGGAACATATCCTGAAAATTCCGACAATGAAGGCCGATGGTGGGAATTTTGTATTCCTCAGGTTTCCAGCAATGAAGGATGTATTGTGTTATAGTAGCAATAAAGGCTTATTTGATCAGCAATAAAGGCTGATTTGATTATATCAGCAATAAAGGCTGATTTGCTTGTATCAACAATAAATGCTGATTTGATCAGCAATAAAGGCTGATTTGCTTGTATCAGCAATAAAGGCTGATTTGATTATATCAGCAATAAAGGCTGATAATGGGAACTTTGTACAGTTATTCCAGGTGGTTCAGTCCAGCTCTCTCCTTAGCACTTCCAATCGTCTTCCCCAATTTCTGGTCCTGTGATTGCAAGTGAAGATGATGCATTTAGATTTTCAAGAGATATCAGGAGTCGTCTCAGTTTATCAATATCTTCTTTATTGAATTCTCCAAGACTGGACTGTGCTTCTGGGTTGGGCTGACTTGTTTCAGTTCTTTGATTCCACTCCTTACTGGGTGGTTTTCCATGTATCTTCCTGCAATTTTCCTTTGTGTGTATTGATTTCTTGCAATAACTGCACCAAAGTGAGTCTTTGTTTTTGAATTTTGAGAAATCTTTACATTTCTCCTTCCATGATTCTTTGCTCGTCACTATTGCTGAACTTTCAATGACCTTTGGTTCTAACATCACTCATCGTCGGCTTTCTTCCGCGCGGATGAGAGAAATGGTTTCATTGAGTATGGCGTCTCCTCTTTGCCAAGGATCTGGACTCTAACTTGGTCAAACTCTGCATTTAGTCCTGCAAGAAAATCATAAACTCTATCTTTTTCAATAAAGTTCTTTAGGATCGCAGCATCTTCCGGACATATGGTTTCTATGCATCTATAGTGATCAAGTTCTTGCCACATATTTTGTAGAAGGGTGGCATACTCCGTTATGGTCTTACTCTCCTGCTTTGTGCTTCCAACTTTGACTTTAATTTCAAAGATTTGAGCCGCATCACGAGCTTTGTAGAAGGTCTGTCTGGTAGCATCCCATATGTCCTTTGCAGTAGAAAGGAACATAAATGTGTCGCTAATTTTTAGAGTCATGGAATTCTACAACCATGACATAATCATGGAGTCTGCTTCATCCCATGCCCCAAATTTAGGATCTCCTTCTTTTGGTCCCCCTCCAAGGAGGTGATGTATTTTCCCTTTCCCCTTCAAGTAGGTCTTTACAAATTGAGACCACTTTAGGTAGTTCTTCCCATTTAGACGATAGGAAAGTTGCATGCTTTGAAGGTCACCTCGTCCTTGATGCACTATCGACTCCTCAGTTTGGTCAATGTTCTGGGAGGAATTGACTTCTGACATGATGATAGTAATATAGACTATCTTTACGATCTTGGATAGCAATGAAGGCTTCCTGAAAAAAAAATCCTTATGATTTTTATTTATCAGCAATAAAGGCAAATGTACAATTTTTATTGCCTCCCTTTTTTTTTTTCTTTTCTGACTCCCTTCTTGGTTTAAATAACCGGTTACAAGACTTGGATCGAGTGGCTAGGGCACGCGCAGAGTCGGTTGCAGGAGATCGGCTTGCACTGCACGATTCCGCATGCTTCGGGTTGCCACGGCCTTCGTTCGGGCTGTCTGAACAGCCTTCCTGCTGTTCTCTTGAGTTCGAGCAAGAGGCAGGGCTAGGGTGTCTGAGCGTCAAGCGTCGAGCGTCACTTCTCGTGTCTGGAGCCCGGATCGAGTCTTCTTCTTCTTCTTTTCTTGGACTGGAGCAAAACGTCGACCGTGTCTGGTAGTTCTGAGCCTTTCTTCTTCTTCTTCTTTTTTCTCCTCCCTCCTCTACGATCGTTTTTCAACGACGTCGAGCGTCGCTTCTTGCTCTGATACCATGTTGAAACTAGGAATTTGAGAAGAAAAGTCTTGCTTTATTGCATAAATTCTTCCCTATATATAGATCTATACAAGATATTTAATAAGGAAACATATAACTACATAATAATGAAATATAACTCTTCCTAAATCAGCTGCCCATCTATGGAAGGTGTTTCAACATGATTCATGAGTGCTTCCCACAGATTGCTCTCTGTGACCGTCGGATCCTTTGCACCATAAACGGTTGGATTCTAACAAAATATTATTTTATATATCTAATTTATGAGCCATTCATTTTTCACAATCAACTATTTACATATTAATGATTATTTTTTGTAACTTAAAAATGTGCACGAGTTCTTTAAAATGGGTTATTTTTGCCTGCCATTCATCATTTGGTTATTATTATCTTTTATTTTGATTCCTTTTATTTCAAGTTAACAATTGGAGCCGTCAGTTTAATTGCTCAAATTCGATGGTTATACTTTAAATGTTGGCATTCCATGAAGTCATGAACATTAATTTATCTTGAATAAGTTATTCTAAAACATGGGCACCATGGATGTTTTAAGTTCCAACTTGCTTGCTTACTCTGTGTAACTTTCTATTGGAGTTGGGGCTGCCTTTTACAATTTATTAATTCTTGAGATTGAACTCTATTATAGTTTTATCTTAACTCAGTAGTCTTTACCTTAGTTTCTTCCTTAATTGATATCGTTTGCTATTGGATACTTTAGAATGATATCTATCAACCAATGTTCTTTATTTCATATACCCTTTCTGTCTTCGTGATTTCAAATGGATATTAATTATCCATTCTCATAATCTCAAGCCACTTGGTTTGTAATGAGAGAGATTACCATTATAATTTTACTTAATATGCCCAACATTACTATTTGTTAGAAAGGAATTATGTTCCTCAGTGGATATTTTGATTAGAACATTTGGGTCCATCAATATTCAAAGTTATACAATTGGATATATAGGTTTTTTTAAAGGTGAGTCATAAGCCTCAAGGCATTTTGGCGCATAAGCCTAAAAGTTAAACCATTAAATAAATTAAAAATAAGAGAAGTAAGGTATTTAAATGTAATAATATTAAATCATAATAGAGCATCATAAAGTGATACAAGTACTCAATAATAAATAAGTAATCTAAGTTAAATAAATAAACATAAACAAAAAAGTTTAAAATAAACAAGTTTTGACTTGAGACTTTGAACTCAAAAGTCTCTCCCACACCCCTCACTTAGAGGGTGTTTATAGAATCATCATTGTACATGGTTGCTTTCGCCACCTTGATCCTCATTTTTATCAACATCATCACAATCTGATTCATCTTCAATCTCATTCATCTTATTATTCTTTTATTAATCAAACAATGTATATATTGAACTTCTATAGTTCATATTACATAAAATTTATACTAACACTTTCTATTGCTTTCTTATTGACTTTTGCTCTTCTTATTGCTTCCTCCATCAAAAAGTTACATTGAGATATTCCTCATGTAATTGACATGGTGAAACTCTATTTTCATTATTCACAAATCATTCATCATTCGATCACATATTATTAATAACCAAGAGATTTTCTTCATCCTCTACAATTTTCTTCCTTAAACGTCTTAACTTAATCACTTGTTATATGTTATAAACTAATAAGTTTATCCTTAAAATAGTCATACATTTTCTTCTAATTGTATGAATTTAATTATAAGTATCCCAATTTTCTCAACAATTTGATTGAAATTCTTTATAATTCGGAAGTACCCTTTAATAAATGAATCCACTGCCCAACTAATTTAAAACAAATATAATTATCATTTTATACCAATTTAAAAAACTTGACCAACAAAGATTAAAAGCTAGTTTCTATAGAAATTAGGATTTTCCTTGCCAAGGGAACATTTGGTTATATTGTTTTTAGCTTGTTGTAATTCAAAAAAGGGAAATTTACATACATACCACTTTATTTTATGCTATTTACATATCTAACACCTAAAATATTAATATTACATGCCTA